GCGAATTCGTATTCAGGGAAAGTTGTTGGAGCTTCCAATAACTTGATGACATAAACCACTGACTCTTCAGGCTTCTACGCCCTTGACTCTTCAGGCTTCTACGCCCTTAACTCGTGAGACATAAAGGCAAGCATGAACTTAGCATGCTTCCCTGTTGGGCGCTGTAAACTCTTCTACGCTTCACCTTACACAAGGATGTAGGGGGGTGCCCAATAAAAAAAAAATAAAAAAATAAAAAATAAGCGAGAGCGGGGGAAGAGGGGGAAGAAGGTGGTGACGTGGAGGTGAGGGAGATGGTTAGGAATGCTTTAGATTGAGGTATAATGTAGGAGGCTTCAGATTGGTTAGATTAGGTTAGGTTCGGAGGCTTCTGTTTGAAGTGTTTCAGTGTGTATATTCTGAACAGTGACACCATGCGGTTTTTTTCCTTCAGTATATTTGATTTTTTGGCTTGATTTTAAGTGGCTTTTTCGGCTAAATGTGTTCTGAGGACTAAAATAATATGGCTTTTCAACTTATGTGGTTCTAAAGGGTGAAATAATGTGGCTTTCTCAGGTAATGTGGTTCTGGGGGCTGATGTTTACTGTGTGCGTGTGCTTGTGCGTGTGCGTGTGCGTGTGTGTTTTAGACCGAGACAGATAATGTAGTAGGGAACGAAAATGACGACGGAAGGAAAAGGTAGAGGAAATAAAGATAAATAAGAAATTAAAGAAAAGAGGGAAGAATGATAGAGAAACGAATGAATGAATAGGAAAAAAAAGAGAAATAGATAAAGAATAAAAAAAAGCCCAGGAAAAATGAATGATAATTAAGGAAAAGGGGATAAACAGTGGAGAGAGAGAGAGAGAGAGAGAGAGGATGCTGCAGGCTTAGTAACGGGAAAATAGAATTGTTGTAATTTTCACTCTAAATTATTCAGGCTGGCACACTGTCCTTGTTGTACATCAAGTCGCCATAGTAATCATTGAGTTGCCATTGTAATCATCTCAGTTGCCATTGTAATCATTTCGTAGGTATACAGGAGTTACCCTTTGCTAGCCATATTTACCATACGTCGCCATAGTAAATCTTTTTCACCTGCTGCCTGTAGCCGAGGTTCATTTACGGCAGGTGGTGGCAGATTCAGGAGGCCAGTGACAGGTAGATGGGGAGGGTAGGCTGAGTTATGGGTGGTAAGGGGGAAGTAGATGATGGAGGAGAAAGAATGAAGGAGGAAGTATGAGGGAAAGAGAGAGGGAGGTGAGGTAGAATGATGGAAGGATGGAGGTGAAGGAGGGACGTGAGAGGGCAAGAGGGAGGGAAGGAGGTTACGGAGAGTGTATGACGGAGGGAGGTGAGGGAGGAAGAGAAGGAGGTGACGGAGAGAGGGAGGGAGGTGTGGGAGGGAGAGAGGAAGTGAAAGGAGGGAGACTGAGTGACAGGAGGGAGATTAAACTCAGGAAGCAGGATGTTACCGAGATAAGGCGAACTACAAGTATGTTGCTGAAGACACACACACACACACACGCACACACACACACACACACACACACACACACACACACACACACACACACACACACACACACACACACACACACACACACACACACACACACACACACACACGACACAGATCAACCTCAATTTGTTACGTAGCTCAGGAACTACAAGCGGATGTTAAGACTTGATATTTAGTAAGGCATTAGAGTAGGTTGAAGCAGGGAGAGACAACAGGGGGAAATGAGGTGACATGAGAAACTGTAAAAGCGGAAATGAGACGTTGGTGAGGGCGCCTGTGTGGAGAATTTGTGAGGTGAGGTGGTGATGGTAGTAGGGGAGGAGGGAGGGGGGGGAGGAGGAGGAGGAGGAGGAGGGAGGTGGAGGAGGAGGAGGAGGTGGTGGGGAGGAGGAGGAGGTGGTGGTGGTGGTAGTGGTGGTGGTGGTGGTGACGAGGTGGTGGAGGAGGTGGTGGAGGAGGAGGAGGTGGTGGTTGTGGTGGTGGCGGCGGCACTCATATTTTATTCAGCTTCCGGAGGTACAAGGATTCACACACACACACACACACAACACTTGTTGTGGGTGTACGGGGTAGAAGGTAGTGTTGTGTGGGGGAGTGGGAAGTGTTGTGCGGGTGTATGAGGGAGTGGGGAGTGTTGTGTGGGTGTAAGGGGGAGTGGGGAGTGTTGTGTGGGTGTATGAGGGAGTGGGGAGTGTTGTGTGGGTGTAAGGGGGAGTGGGGAGTGTTGTGTGGGTGTATGAGGGAGTGGGGAGTGTTGTGTGGGTGTAAGGGGGAGTGGGGAGTGTTGTGTGGGTGTAAGGGGGAGTGGGGAGTGTTGTGTGGGTGTATGAGGGAGTGGGGAGTGTTGTATGGGTGTATGGGGAGTGAAAATGTGACTGGCGGTGTATTTATTTAACGTTGCATCATATCCCAGAATTCCAAATAGCGCAGAAAACTACTGTACCCAGGGGCACTATTTCTGTCTCTCGGAGAGACCCTGGGGTGCTAGCGCCCTTGGCTGAGCCCCTCGAGGGGCCGCTATCCTAGTGATAATCCCCTGGGGGCGCCGCAAGCCTTGGTAGGGCCTCTGGGAGCTTGGCAGCTCCTGGCTGGGCCTTGAGTGCCGCTGTACTTGGGAGAACCCTTTGGAGCACCTGCGTCCCTTGGAGGGCCCCTGGAAGCGCTACCGCCACTGAGAGGCCCCCTGGTTGAATCCACCGTCCCTTAGAAAGCCCCTGGGAGCGCCGCTGTCCCTGGAAGAGCCACTGGGGGCGTTGCCGTCACTGCGAGAGTCCCTTGGAGCGTTGCCGTCCCTGAGAGGCCCATGGAAGCTCGGCTGTTCCTGGAGGAGCCCCTGTGGACGCCGCCTTCCCTCAGAAGGCCCCTAGGATTGCAGTTGTCCCTAAGACCGCTCCTGGTGGATCCAGCGCCCCTTACAGGTCCCATGGGGGCACCGCCGACCCTGAGATTGCCCTGGGGGCGCCTCCGTGCCTGGCATGGCCAAGTGACCCTCACAGGGATAAGGGCGATGCCTGGGTCCCTTACAGGGACGGGAGCGCCTTCAGGGGTGTTCCCAGGGACGGCGGCGCCCCCAGGGGCCATACCACAGCGGTGGCTCATTCAGAGGCCCTTCCAGGGGCGGTGTCTACCCCAGGGTCCCTCTATGGGGCGCCTCTGCCCCCAAGAACCTAGCCAGGGGCTGCGGCGCCCCTATGGGTCCTCCTAGTCGCAGTGGGTGCCTTTCCAGGGGCTGCAGGGTCTCTGCCAGGGACGACGGCGCCCTCAGGGGCCCTTCCACAAGCAGCATCGCCCTAAGAACTTCGTAGTTTTGTCGTACATTTTACATTCGTCCAGTAATCCCTTACTTAACTGTGATTGGTGGAGCAAGATGTAACGTCATCAAATTACAGCCAATAAGAGAACAGAGCAATCAGTCAGCACAACACCCCAACTTATGCTTTGCTGTTGGATATTTATTTTCGTTTCACTATTTAAACTCTGGTGATATGACGTTAAATAAACAGACACTGCCCATAGCATTTTCAGTATTATCGCAACCTGAACAATGAAAAAGAGAAAAAATATCCAACAGCAAAACATAAGTTGGGGTGTTGTGCTGATTGATTGCTCTGTTTTCCTATTGGCTGTAATTTGATGACGTTACCTCTTATTCCACCAATCACAGTTAAGTAAGATATTACTGGAAGAATGCAATATGTACGACACCACTATCCATTGTTTTGGGGAGCCACCTCCCCTAGGACGACCTATTGTGAGCCACAGGCCTTGGCAGGGTCCCTGGGAGCAGTGACGCCCCATAAAGAGGCCTGGGGGGAGCCACCGCCTCTGGAATCGTCCCTGAAGGTGCCACTGCCGCTGGCAGGGCCTCTGGAAGGACCACGGTCCCTAGGAACGTACCTAGAGCCGCCCCTGTCCCTGGAAATGCCCCAAGAATCATGGCTGTCCCTGTGAGGCCCCCTAGGGTCGCCAGTGCCCCTAGCAGGGCTCATGTACAGAAAAGGGCCTGCAGAATCAGAATCATGCTCGGTGCAGAATACACAACCGCTACAAAACCGCTCTCTCCACCCTGGAAATGCCATCCCTCAGTGACCTCCACCACCAAGCACTGGAAAGGTTTGGCCGTGGACTACTGCACCACCCTCGCCATCGCCACCGCCTGCCACCTGCAGCCCCCCACCCAGCTCGCGCAGTCCGCCACTACAACAAAATTCAGCCCATAAGAGCCCGCACCGATAGATATAAGAACAGCACCATCCCATCTATTGTTAAAATAATAAACAACTCCTGATTTATGTACTGTACAGCCCTGTAAATGTATTTAATGCATATAATATCTTTATGTCTAAATCAAATGTAAGTCTGTATATTTTAGGACACCGGCTGCAACTCTATTAATAAACCGTTTATTATTATTATTATTATTATTTATGTTGGCGCTGCCGTCCCTTTGAGGGATCCTAGGAGCGTTGCCGTCCCTGAGAGGGTCCCTTGGAG